GAGAGAGAGAGAGAGAGGTCGCAATAAGTATGTGTATGAGGACGATCATGATTGATTAGATTGTTATTACTCAACATCACAGTAATAATTAAGTGGATTGATTGATATAAAAAGTACTACCGTAATTACTGTTAGTGTGATGTGAAGTAAGATCCCTGCTTGCGACGTTCTCACTTGCAAGTGTCTGTGTGGTGGCTGTTTACTCAGGTTGTGTGCATGCTTGGAGCAAGTCGGAAAGAGCGTTAAGCCCTTCAACATCGACAGCATTGCCACGATGGCCGACAACGCCATTCGCGGAGAAGTGGATCCTGCCATCCTGTCGGAGCTGATGATTAACCGTGCGGACTCACAAGGTGAGCTTTTTCTTTCTTGCCTTTCTTTCTTCTCCCTTTTCTTTCCTTCTCTTCCCCCCTCCCCCCCCCTCCCTCCTCGCCTTTTTTTTTTTTTTCCTTTTTAATGGAGAACAAGGGTAGCCTTTTTTGTTTTTTTTGGCCCCGTACGTTATACTACTTTTTTTTTGGAAAAAGAGGTGCAACGACGCCGAAGAAACCGAAAACACAGAACAAGAACATTTAACGACTAAACTACTCCAGTCTTCCCCCGAATACAACGTACGGTCATTATAGCTGAATGTAGACTGAAAGATACACCAAATTCAGCTATTATATAATGACCGTACGTTGTATTCGGGGGAAGACTGTAGGAAAGAGAGAACCAGAAGTCCTCCAGGACATCCGTTAAAATTGGAACGATACAGAGAAAGAAGAGAGATTGGGCCTCGCTGCAGTACTCTCGAAATGTGCAAAACGAGAGTGAATCTTCCTCTAGAATATGGAAAGATGCACCGCTATGATTTTTGTCGTTTGTGCATGCCGAGAGTGGTGCAGCGAGGCCCATTAGCACGGCCCCTGCGCAAGGATGACATGCATAAAACGAGAAATGATATAAAAAAAAAGGAAGGGAAAAAAGAACCAGAATCGCCGCTTGGAAGTTTGTGGAGAAATCGAGTGTACGATCCTATCGGTCGCAGCTAATGATTAATCGTGTGGACACACCACAAGGTGTGCATTTTTTCCCCGCTTTCTTTTGAGCTGTTTTTTCTCTTATTTTCTTTCATTCAGTTTTACATTTCTTTTCTCTTCATCTTCTGATCCCGGCATCTTGCTGCAAACCAACCTGCAATCCCTGGGGCCAAGTCCCACAAGCAGCGTTGAGTTTCCTCAACGCCTGAAGCTGGACGTGTTTGAGGAGATGTGGGGAAATCGCGTTGAGCTTCCTCGACCGCACATCTCCACAAACACGTCCAGATTCAGGCGTTGAGGAAACGCAGTGCTGCCGGTAGTAGTGGGACTTGGCCCCCCTTGGCCCCGGGGACCAAGTCCCGAATTCTCATTTTGCGACCGTAGATTTTGATGATCAACGGCCAGAAATGAAGAATCGGGCCAAGTGGGACTTAGCCCCGGGCCCGTGCCCCACTTGAGGAGGCTTACCTTTGGTTTGAACTATTTTTCAGCGTGGTCACACTATGGCCGTGAGATCTTCAGATCGGATGGCAGGGACCCATGTATACTGGAAATCAGAACTACCGTCTTCCCCCGAACACAACGCACCCTTATTTTGGCTGTATCTTGGCACCCTTTGTTTGACCCCCATCTTTGCAATATACGCCTACCGGGTATGGTCCAACTTTGCAAAATGCCCCAGTACTCGCCAACTTTTCCTAGGCGCTATTGCAAGAGGCCAAGGCATATAATGATGGAGAACTATAGAACCTTAAAAAGATATTAAATTTAGGTAGATGTAGTTAGATGGAATGATAGGGTAAAGTAGGTTGTTCCTTTCACCACAGATGTTAAGAATGGAAAGAATTTTAAGAGTCAGACAGAGTGTTGGGCCTCGGATTGAAGGCCGGGTAAGAGGTTTTGTTTTCTTCTATCGAAGACGGGTAGTGACGAATGGTACTGGCCAAGGCCTAAGCTAAACCGGCTGATGCTGCCGGGATAACTCCGGGTTGAATTGTGAGGTCCCCGGCCTCTGTTCATTGTGTTTGAAATGGAATTGAATGCATTTGTTACGAATGGTACTGGCCAAGG